AAATTTGGGGCCAAAAGATGCATGTGCAGATATGCATAGGGTAAGTAAACAGCCTGGAATTATTCTAACTTAATAAGGTATATAAAGAATTAGAGACCCTGCACTACACAGTGAACGTTTAGCATTTTCCATTCTACTGTAAAGGGAGTTAAAAGTAGTAGAAGCTTGGAGGTGCAAGGGTGGTACCCTGGCACGCAGCCAGGGTAATTGCTGAAAAGACTCTGGGAAACCACTGAGGATGTTACAAAATATCCCTAACAATAATGCTCTCCCTTTATATATTGAAGATAGTATTATCTGTTAGAGAACAGAAACTTTTCCCTGGAGTTAGATCACCATGATTTTCACAGACAAAAACTAGATTGGGACATTCAGGCATTGGTTAAAGTGATGTTTCCTGACCTATCATAGAATGGAAGCTCCCCGTGTACACAGCTTGTTAATATGCCACAAAGTAAGCACTTAGTGGATTATATTCTATGATAATGATGTAAAAACCATTGATTTAGTCTAGGAATTGAGATTATTTTTATCCCATGAATGACATCAATAAGGACCAAAAAGCTAAGGGTAACGGTGTGTCCAGTTTTGCTCAAGACAGACAGTGTCTATTCTGCTTACTCAAGTGATGTGCAAACCTGGGTGTGAACACTGAAGGGCAGAAATGCCTCTGCCGCAACAGAGTTCAGGGACATTCTCACACCTTCTTCTGTAATTTTCCAGGAATTGGCTGGCTGGCAAAGCGGGTTGTGAGACTACAAGCATACTATTGAGACTCAAGGAAAGACTTTTTAAAATGTCATATACATTATTTTTGTTTAAAAAAACTTTATTGAGATATAATTTACATATTATACAATTCACCCATTAAAAGTGTACAATTCAATGGGTTTTAGTATATTCACAGTTATGCAACCTTCAGCACAATCAATTTTAGAACATATTCATCACATGCTCCCAAAATCCATACCCATTAGCAGTCACTCCTCACTTTCCCCCACCCTCTCCCAGCCCCTGGCAATCACTAATCTGCTTTCTGTCTCTGTGGATTTGCCTCTTCTGTGCATTTTATATAAATGGGATCATATAATATGTAGAATCTTTTTGTTTTGAGGGAAGCGGTAGGGAAAGAATAATGTTCTGCTTTTCTATTATTATAAATTTCTTGTCTTATTCATAATCTTTCTGTCCCTAAATATTATCTTCCAAAGTTCCATCACAGCTGGTAATAGAAGGGAGGCTGGTTCTGGTTTGCTTGTGGTGTTTCCCAACATTGAGTCCCTGTGTCCTGCTGTCCAAGGTGCCTGCTCTGTGCTGGCTCTCTGGGCCTGGCACGCAAGCGCGTCTGCTCTTGTCAGGCTGCCTGCAGGATCCCCAGCAATCTAGCCCCCTGATAAGGTGCTCTGCAAGAGGAGCCAGGCATGCGAGTGCAAGCTGGAAGGCCGTGAGAAAGTTTTGAGAGTCAAACAGCAGAGAAATTAATTCCACATCAGGTAGAAGTAGACAAAAATGCAAGGCTGGAGTCATGGTGCAGCGTGTTTAGACAGAAATCAGCATTTAGACAGAAATCAGACCAGAATAAGAGTAGTAAGAAACAAGCAGTTAATGTCCACGGTGTTAGCCAACGTGTTCTGATAGTCTTAATCTAGAATGTAGGTGTTTGGTAGGAGACACTGAAGGACCAATGAATCTTTGTCACTGATTTAAGTCTTGTGCTCTTGGAGAAATGTTAGACATTATTGGTTACCTTCAAAATACTCATCTCCCTCTTTCCCTCCTGCACAGCTCACACCCCCTCTTCCTTTCTGGCTCAGTGTCGTTCTGAAAATGCAAGGTATCATACTCCCATTCCTTCTTCCAGGTAGGACTAAGCATGAGCTCCAACCACGGCAAGGTGGCCTGGTGGGAGATTGCTGGGCGACTTCTTAGAACAGATTCCCTCCCTAATAGAATAAAAAAAAATCATGAAAAAATGAACAGTGTTATGGCAAGACATTGTTTTTATTTGATCCTCGGAAGTGTGACAACCACCTTGAGACCACGAAGGGGCAGGTCAAGGACGGCACAACGCGAGTACGGAATCCGGCCAGGCGCGGGGTGGCGCTGCTGTACTTCCGAGACAATCAATCCGCGATGCCGTTTCTCGGCTTTTTGTTGTGCGAGTTTAATCAGGACACCTTCAGTCAGGTGTCCTGATATTTGTTTAGGAAGTACCCTAGGAGGATGTACTAGAATGAATAAACTACTTTCAGAGGATCATTGATGATAAATCTCGGCACCAAGCAGGTACGCAGCTGTACTTCCTTTGTGATTTTAAGCCCTTTGATTTCTCCTGGGAACGATCCTCCCAGCGGGCGCCATGCTTGGTCGGTATTCCATGGACTGGGGGTGCCGCTGTAGAAGGGAGACCCTGAGAACCAGGGCAGCGCTTGTGGTGTTACTGGGCCGTGGGTGCGTCCGCGGGGACAGCGGGCTCACGGAAACCCCAGGTTCAGCGCCAGAAGCGGGCGGTCTGTGCGGGAGCGCGTCAGCTCCTCGAGGCGGGGAGTGGGGTGAGAGCAGTTAGGCAGGCGGGTTTTCTTTGTGATGTGGGCCTTAATTACCAGGCTCCCGTAGATAACGCATTCGGCTGAATTACAGCTGGGCCCCCGAACCAGGGCCTCGTCTAGACATTTCAATTTTCCATAATCCACCTCAGTAAAGATTTTAAGGCAAGCCTTAGCTGGAAACCAGAACATATCATTTTGATTAAGGTTGTAGACTTAACAAAGATCAAAAGCAGGGCCCCAAACTCCCCGTGATGAACACACTGTGACATCGCCCGGAAGCAGTTTTGATAGCTCTTGAGCCAGAAATTTACATGTCTTTTTAAGTTAAGATGATACAGTGCTACCTGGTGGTGCCACCCCTTCTGGAAAGTGATTGGGTCTTATGCCAAGTAACTCTGCTATACCCTGTCTGAATCCTCTATCTGCTCATTAGGGAAAATCAAGAACCAGAAAGGGTGTATACCCTCCCTTAAAGCAAGTACTTCCATCTTCAAGCAAG